ATGGGTCAGCAAGGGACGTCGTGTCTCATAGTGGAATCAGCCATATGGTCCACTCTGTGCATTGGGTATTCTGAGCAGGGTTATCGTCCTCCAGGCTTGGTGGGCCAAAATGTGCTCCGCTCTCTTCCTCCCAATTCATTTGCTCCCTTGTGCTCTGATCAGACATGTCCTTGAAGGACATTCTTGCTGAAAATGCCGAATTGTGCCATTCTCGTCCATCTTAAAAAGAGTATTCTGGAACAACCAGTGTCCCTTTCTAATATCTATCTTTCCTGGAACTAGTGTAAGGCTCCGTTCTCCGCACCATGAAGTTTCACCACAAGATGAAGAGTTGGTTTTCTAAAAACAGATACTGTCAGCATTTGTTCCATCTTAACAAGTATTTAGCAATACGATCCTTAACGGCTGTTTAGTATTCCATTGTTTCTCACAAAAGATGGACGCTCAAAAGTAAAGAAGTAAACATCACACAGGAAAAGTCCCCAGGTCTTCATCGGGTTTTCACTTTATTTCCCCCCACCCCCCACTTTATTCTTAAATCCTTCTCTTGGTTGAAATGACTTGTCTCCATGAGCCATTATTTGCTAGGATGTCTTCCCCAGCTGTCGTTTTGTTGGATTACCCAATGGTTGTGTGCCATCTGGGTGATTCATTTGACTGATGGAACAGCTATCCCAGCTCTGCTTTGAGAGGAGGCACTAGGCTCATTCACCAGGCACGCTGAGTTTCTCAGTGTGGTGTGGAAAGATTTTTCTGAAGTATGGAGGCTGTAGTGTAACCTACTAGAAATTTCATGAAGTTTGGAGTAAACACGTCCTGATTCAAGATTCAGCTCCCGACTCTCAGTGGTTTCAAAAGCCAAATTTTGTGGGGATTTCTGTTTTGAAAACCTTCTGGGACTTAGAGGAGTAGTCTATTAAAGAGAGCGATACAAAGGAGGAAAGAAAGCTCATAATTGTATGTGCCTGGCCTTGCCTCTCTCCCAAGCTGTCCTCCCAGATTTTCAACAGGCTCCGTCCTAGAGGTTTCCACCTTACCATCCCACCGACAACTCCCATCCACTGACATTGAGAACTTCCTCCCAAAATGATCATCTTCTTGGTAACACCACTCTCCCCCTGTCTGCCGCCAGAGGCTAAATCCTGAAATCCCCTTCGAGTCCTCGCTTTTTCACCCTATCCCTACTTCATATCATCCCAGAGTTCTGTGGCGCACTCTTTCTGGGTTTCTGGGTCCAAATGGAAGGCCATCTTATCTTAGCTTTGCCAGAGTATGATATTATCCAGTCCTTCTTTGTATGGTCGCCTACTTCCTGTTGGGGGCTGTTCAGTTTCTTGCCTAATTGTCTATCTGCTGGATTTGCTGACTTAGTGGTAAACTCACATTTGCTTTCAGTTCACCAAATAGGTTGCAAATTCTGTGAGGGAATGGGCCACTTCTCATGCTTGTTTTATGTCTCCTTACAACACTTAAGATCATGTTCGAACAGGCTTTGGAAGCTCTTCGATTTCCACTGTTGCCCATTCCACATTTTTCATGTGTACCTTTCCATATAGAGATACCAGGGACACCGATTGTGTCGTGTAACCACCACACTTCATAAGCTCTTGGTAATCGAATCATCATGATTTGGTAGTTCTGGCTGCAAAAGGAAAATGGGGAAAATTTAACCTACACTTGTCAAACTGAATTACCGTACATACGCTTGTATAAGCCAAGTTTTTCAGCACTTTTTTAATGCAGTTTTTGTGGTGAAATTAGGTGCCTCGGCTGATATTTGGGTTGGCTTATACTTGAGTATATACAGTATTATTGTTGGACTGGATGTCAGACCAAGTGTCTGTCAAAAACTTATAGGGGATATTATACATACTTAAATTTCCACTAAGCTTCCTCTCAATTACTCGGTCGTGGTCATTTTTGTAGTGTTACTTGTGTTACGAAAACTGTGGACCTGGTTTCCTCTGCTGTAGCCCTGCTCCTCACCTATACTAGGTGCTGAATTCATTTCGGTAGATGAATTTTCTTTTCTTTTAAAAAAAATCATTTTATTGGGGGCTCTTCCAGCTCTCATCACAATCCATCCATCCATCCACTGTCGTAAGCACATTTGTACATATGTTGCCATTCTCATTTCCAAAGCATTTCGTACTTGAGTCCTTGGTGTCAGCTCATTCTTTCGGTAGATGAACTTTCTTATGCCTAGAAGTACTGTTTGTATCTAAAAAATAACTTCTTTGCTTCGAAAAGATAAAGAGCACACCTCAATTATTACAAATATCAAGCCTTTGTTAATTTTTTAAAATATGTCATCTTAACAGGATATGCTGTTTTAGTAAAGTGTCTGAAATAATACACTGAGTCAGCTTAGTTAGCTATGATATTTTGTTTACCCTTTATGCTATTTCTTTTGGTTAAATTCTCTTACTTGTATTCTTAGGTTAAAACATCAGAATTTTATAGATACTCCCGACAGCTGCGGTATGAAGTCGACCAAGCATTGAATTACTTTCAGAACGTTCACCAACAGCCTCTGATCGAAACAAAATCCAGTCGCATACGTTCTGCCAAACCCCAAACTACAGTATTCCGAGGAATGATTGGACACAGCATGGTGAACAGCAAAATACTACTCTTAAAGAAGCCAAGAGTCTGGTGGGAGCTGGAAGGCCCACAAGTACCCCTGCGACCGGACTGCCTTGCCATTGTCAACAACTTTGTGTTCTTGCTAGGCGGGGAAGAGCTGGGGCCTGACGGCGAATTCCACGCTTCTTCAAAAGTGTTCAGATATGACCCCAGGCAGAATTGTTGGCTCCGCATGGCAGACATGTCTGTCCCACGTTCAGAATTTGCAGTTGGCGTGATTGGAAAATTCATCTACGCAGTAGCCGGAAGAACCAGGGATGAAACCTTCTATTCAACTGAGAGATACGACATCACCAATGATAAGTGGGAATTTGTCGACCCGTATCCAGTCAACAAGTACGGCCACGAAGGGACTGTGCTCAATAACCAGCTGTTCATCACCGGTGGGATCACATCATCTTCCACCTCGAAACAAGTGTGCGTGTTTGACCCGAGCAAAGAAGGGACCATCGAGCAACGCACCAGAAGAACTCAAGTGGTTACCAACTGCTGGGAGAACAAGAGCAAGATGAATTACGCGAGATGCTTTCACAAGATGATCTCTTACAACGGCAAGCTTTATGTCTTTGGTGGTGTATGTGTGATCTTGAGGGCCTCTTTTGAATCTCAGGGATGCCCTTCTACAGAAGTCTACAACCCAGAGACTGATCAGTGGACCATCTTAGCCTCCATGCCGATCGGGAGAAGTGGTCACGGTGTCACTGTGCTGGACAAACAAATAATGGTTCTTGGCGGCCTTTGCTATAATGGTCATTACAGCGATTCCATTCTCACTTTCGATCCCGACGAAAATAAATGGAAGGAAGATGAGTACCCTCGAATGCCCTGCAAGCTGGACGGTTTACAAGTGTGCAACCTGCATTTCCCTGAATACATACTGGACGAGGTTAGACGTTGCAACTGATGACATCTGCGGCCTCCCCGAGAAGATGACAAACAAAGCATTTATTTGTGATACGTAACTACAACAACAACACAAACATAAAAACCTCACCAGTTTTACTATCGAAGCCATTGGTCGAATATCGTAAGAAGTTTTTATTTTGTGCTAGCATCCTTTCTTTTTAGTGGCCTCAAATTCATGCAATAAGTTACTTCTAAGCGCTAGCTCTTGAAACTACTTCTTGAAGCAGTTGAATAGGTTGATCCACTTACCGGGAAAGTTGAGCTGTATGCTTTAAGATTTCAGCGCAGGTAGGATTCATGAGTCTTCTGAGAGACAGAGCAAGAGGGACCTGATAAGTGTCACTGGATGTGATTTCAGTTTCTATCTGTCTGAAATCTTTTTGAACATCTACTTCAGTGTATTTCAGTCTGTTAAACTTTTTTGTTTTGTTACCTAAAAGTTTAAAACTCGACCTTTTTGCATGGCTTTTTTTGCTGAAAACGCAAAATTATAAATTTTCTACGAAGTTAACTTTTTATAATCAAAACACTATTTCTAAGCTGCCTTCTCTTAATCAGCATTGTGTTAGTGAACGCATATCCATCCTTGCATTCATCCTATAAATATATAAGGCACATCCCATTTTATGTATGGTTAGGATTCTATATTTTTAAGCTAGTGCATTCGCGCACACAGTTCGCCATACTTGTTGAATTTTTGATGTAACATCTTTTCATGTTTTAATATTTTTAGAAAGTTACAATAACTGGAGTCCTCATTTCGTATCCAAGTAGCCTATCTTCTTCAGTCCGTACTGACGCAGTCATATTTGAACCCTTTATATTCTGACACATGTATGGACTTATGAAAACACTTTATATTTTATTTTCACACATAAGCATTAGTGTTCTTTATTGTGTATTGTCTTTGCCTTTTAAAAATGTTGTTCTTTGCAGATTGTTTAATGTTGCCCTATTTTTAGAGAGAATCGGAGTGGTATGTAACAAGAGTTCTGACCCTGCAGTGTGCAAGCACTTTTAAAGAGAATTTAGGTATCTCAAATGCCTAAAGGACCCCTAAATGTAAGTGCAACTCCCATTCTACATGTTAAATGAGGCTGCTGCATCTGTTACTGACTGGAAGGTAGCAACCATAAAAATATTTGCGCTCAGTTGTCACATAGAAGGAAGTAATAGAATTATAATCTTACTGGGTATATTTACTTGCTTGTTTAATACCAAACAGCAGCAGTGGAGATGTGAGCGCTCAGCTTTTGTTTTTTTTAATGAAAGCTACTAGCAAGGATAGTAACCCCAAGTTGAGAATGGATCAAAAAGAATGGTTGAAAAGCAGTTCGAGTGTTTTAGGATTAGCTGCACCTTTCCACTCTTTAAATGCAAAGGGGAAAAACTATATATATGGTTGATTAAATTAAGAAAGAATACCCAGGGAGTGGATCATTCGAATTGATACCTTTTTCTTAAGAATAGAGTCTATCTGATACAGACTAGACCTACACTGGCAACCCTTGCCAAACCTTTGGATATTGGTGCAATATTGTAATGCCTTCTATATGGCTGTTGTATAAATCTTCTAATCTTTTTTTCTTTGTTTGGTTTGGCTTGGTTTTGCTGCTGCCATCACTGAACATAAGAAATGGAAATGTGAAGACTTTTGATTTTGAATTCAGTTAAACACACTAGAAAACCAGATTTCGAAACTCCAGAATAGGAGGCGTTTGAGTTTAAGAAATCAGGTACACACGTTTATTTTGAGGAGAGATTAAAAAAAAAATAGCAAAAAAAACAGGAAAAAAAGCATTTTTTTTTTTTAGAAATCAAGTTGCTGTTCTTTTGTATAAGCAACTTAAAGCGTTGTTTAATGGTTCTCTTAATTTCTAAAGACAAAATGTGTTAGGTTTGCTGTGGTTCATACAAGTTTGAAAACTAGGAATTAGGTTAAGAGTTTTGTTTCTCCTAGTTGGTTTGGGTTCTTGTATGTATGCCATCTTACTTTCAGGAAAAGAACATCTTCATGATTTTCCTTTTAGTAGATGTCTTTTGCCCGAAAAGAGGGGAAAGAGCTGTCAGGCAGGGTACGCATATCCGAGGCTTGGCCGTTTGGGTGGGGGTTCTCTTTACTGCTTAACTCTGGCTTCATAGCCCTCATTAGGCAGATCTGGGCAAAGAGTTGGATATGCTTGGAGTTCCATTTTAAAGACCCAAGAACAAGGTCAATATTTTTGGTAAATGTTTGTGAAATCTTAACTTGAACTAACTTCTGGGTTCAGCTTCACGTACAGTCTTGTCTGACCTGATGTTAGCTGTAATCAGTTTTTGAGCTTTAAGCATAGTTGCTCTTTGCTTGGGTCCCGAATGTATGAGTAAATGCTTCTTGTTTATACGTAGCTCTAATCTAGGTTATTTGAAATCCACGAGTAACTTACATTCCCCTTTACAAATATGGTTTAACTGTTGAAAGAGATTTATTTTTGTTATACTAAACTATGGGAAAAATTTTTTTTCATAGCTTTTTTTTCCAAGTGGATTTGTGTGTGTATGTGTGTATGTGCGCGCTTTATTGGGAACCATTTATTGTTTATATACTTTGTGCTCAAAGTAGTTGTTTTTATGCAATTTTGGTAGGAGATTTGAAACTATACAGTGTAACTGTTGTGATCTTTGTATCTGCTCATTTTCACTTTACGTGTTAAATGTCAGGCTTTACAAAAAAAAAAAAGAGCTGATTGCCATAATTACATCTAAATTGGAAACGTTTATTCTCTTTCCTTCCACCTCTTTAATCTTTCAAGTTTTCCGTGCACTACATACAACCTTTTCACAAAATGCAAGATTCTCACATGGTAGGTTTTGTATTGGGAGAAATACTACCGGTTTTATAAAAAAAGGAAAGCTTAATTTGTAGAAGTATCCGCTTTTCTTGAGACAGCAGCTCTCTGTGTTCCCGTCCCTCGGCTTTCTGCGGGCGTCGTAGTAATAATTCGTGAAATGTTGACTGAGCCCTCCACTCACCCTGTCGGGAGCAGCACTTCTGGACACCTCATCCCAGGAGGCCTGGGTGAGTCACCCGCCGAGGACATGCGTGTGAGGAGAAGTCGCCCAAATGGAGTCACCCGCCGAGGACATGCGTGTGAGGAGAAGTCGCCCAAATGGAGAAACCTGTCTGTAAATTACAACAAAAGGAAGCTTTAAAATTTCTGACAACAAATGATTTGAACTGTATAATTGGAACCTGTTAAACATTCGGTGGGTTAATTTTGTATATTGTATGTGTGGTGGTAGGTCATAACATTTCAGTTGGTTAATAGAAATTGTTATTTCAGTTAATAAGCTATCACTCAGAAAAGACCAGCTCTTTTGAGAATACATAATTTAAAGTTTTAGCCTGAAGTAAAACACAACATAGCTAATAGTGTAAATTAGACATAACTGAGGGCTATATGGCAGTAAAACTGCTCTCGTGCCAGTTTTCTTGTTTGCCTATTACATGGTTTTTTTGTTTTTTGTTTGTTTTTTGGTACTCAACATTTTTAGGGATCATCTGTTTGTTCGATTTGGATTAGAGTTGGTTTGGGAATAAATTTATCTTTTCAAAAAGTAGTTACCTTAGAAACAAAAGCCCTGAAAAATTAGTTTATCAAGAGTATATGAAGCCCGATATTCCATAGGCATAGACTGGAATAGACCAACTCAAGGAAGTCATATCCTTTCAGTATACCATGTAACATCATCCCAGTAACAGGGAGAGAATGCCATCAGCTTTGTTCCCCCTTAAGAGTCTTGGGTTTTCCTTTTACATTTTTGGGAACAATTATGTTAAATACTTTTATTAATCAGTATACCAGTTAGGTATTTGCTTTTTGAAGGAATGTCCCAGTGAGGTTATGGGAAAGGTTATTTTCTACCTAACTTGTATATGCCCAGGTGGGCATACTTTGTCTATAGAAAAATATTTTGACCTTTTAGGTACATTTGGGGCCAGTAGTCAATCCTAGGGCCGATATAAAAAAATCTTAGAAATAATTTAAGGTTTGCCTTTTATACCTGTTTTTCAAAGCCTTTACATTTTTGTCAGGTAATTTTTCCCAAGCCGTGGATATTATCTATTCAAACATGTTTATGCTATCCATTCTGTTTTTAAAATGAAAAAAAAAATGTTAAAAGTGTTTATGAAGAAAAGTTTAAATAAAATATTTTTGATCTTTAAAATGTATTTTTCTCTAATTTTTACTTCCTTTACATATAAGCCTCCACTTTCAAAGTCACTGATGACTTAATAAAGTAGTGCATATTCTATTTCTTTCAGGCCAACGAAGGGCCATGAAAATGTGATATCTGCCAGTGTTTTCAGCCCCAGATGCAAAGGAAAACTGAAATTATTTATACTCTTCCTTGCAGTTGGAACTTCCATAATGAGGCCAAGTCATTGAAGTTCCTCTCTGTGACACAGAATTCAGAGAAAGCCTCCGTGCGGGGATCTTTAGCATCCTTGTAGCAAGGAGGTTTTGAAATTAGGGAATCTGCTGCACTGGAGGGGTGCTTGCCTCCTTGAAGATGGGCTCCTGTGGTCCCAGGCTGCTGAGATCCTGGCCTAGAGCTACCTTTCCAGCCTCATCGCTTCCTACGCTCTGTTCCTTGCTTTTTCTACCCCTTCTCTGCTTGTCAAGATCCACTAATTTTGCAAAACCCAACTCATATGCTCTCCTTCCCTCTTAAAACCTGTTATCTCCCCCATTGAATTAATTGCCTTTTCTACATTCAGCTCATTCCTTCATTTCCTTTGCATAACAGTTGCATTTCTCTCTCCATAACCAGATTATAGTCTTGGATAAAAAAAGTCACCTTTTATTCTCTGTACCCACATATCTAGCATGATGCGTTGTACACATTGGGTAAAATGTTCACTACCACATAGAAGAAATTCCATATGAATTCCAGAAAAAGGCTATTAGGCATTTAGAAGAGGGAGATAATGCAGTTCGCCAGGATTGGGTTTTCTGCTTTGTTCTCAGTCTACACACGCCCTGCACAATCTCTTCTACACCTATGACTTCCCAACTTTTATTGTGCTACCTGTCAAGTCGGGACTTAACCCAGGGGTCCAGTGTCCCCTGAACATTTCTCATGTTGACTGGAAATCTCAATCGAGGCGAGTGCACCCCTGGTGTAAACCATCTTGTGGATACCTAGACTGCACCCTCCTCTGATATTTGCTTATCATAATCTTCCCCGTCCCACACTTAGCTGGCCCCCTTTAGGGCTGTACTGTGTCTTTTGTAGCATCTGGCACTTGATAAGCCTGCCTTAATAAAAATAAAAACTCAAGACACTTGGAAGGCTTCCAGTGAAGTACTCAGGGTGATGGGCAGCTGTATCCGAAAGCCTGCTTGTCTATCAAGATTGACCTCTCAGGCATCCCTGTCCATTTTCACCGGCACTACTACTACCATGTCCACCAGGTTAACAGCTCGCAGCAACACAGGCTTCTTCCGTAACAGCCCCAAGGACCTCGGGTCCAGGCTGAAAATGTTAAGTGAAGCAGACCAAAGGGTATTTGCAGCATATTAATCCAAATGAAAAGTGCATGTGCTCACAATCTTGGGAAACATTTCTTTAGAATTTCAAGTTTATTAAAGCTTTTTGAAAAGTCCTGCTGTGAAGAACTAGATTCTCCTTAACACGTACTTGACCAGTGAGCTCTTTTTGTTTTCATGGACTTCATTAATATTCTTTGATAGTAATAATCTTGAACAAAGCCCCGTGAAGGAGTAAATGAAAGCAAGCACCAAGGATGACAAATCCAGGTCCTTTGGTCTACAAAATAGGCCTTTCTCATGCACTTCCCATTGGTTTCCAGGGTGATGTTAACTTGGAGATTTCCATCACCCCCCAACCCCATAGGACAAATTTGCATAATTATACAACTGGTGTGATTTAAGGAGCAGGACTTCCAAATGGCCAAGCAAGTAAAGAGCAGCTGTGCATATCCATTCTCAAAAGACAAAACAAAAATTGTCAAACAAAAACCAACTGCCATTTAGATGGGAGTTGGTCGGGAATGAGGCTTTCTATGTCCATAAATGGTAGTCCAAGTCCCACTGGGGCAGGTCTCTGTCCTGTAGGGTTGCTGTGAGTCAGAATTGGGGCAATGGCAGAGAGTTTGGGTTTGGACATGGAGGGTCTGGTATCCACCACACTTGAGAAGAAATTCTGCACCTCCTGAAGAGTGGGAGTCTGATGCTTTAGCCTATTCGGAGGCTGTCCCTATTCCAATTCCCTCTCACCTGATTCTATTTGGAAAGAGGCTGGAAAGATTCCATACCTGAGTGGCAAGCAATCAGAGAAGGTCAAGATGGCAGTTAGCCTGAGGTCCCAATACTAAGGCTAGCAATAGACTGGCAGACAGATCAGCCAGAAACTTCACAGGGAGATCGTGGGCCAAAGCAGGCCTGATTATCTATCCCCAAAAGACTGCTCATACACAAGGCTGAGGGCACCTAAGAAGGGACCTAAGCAAGTTACTTGTCCCAGGCAGAAAGTGAGGCCTTTTAAAGACCGAAACGAAGAGGCCAGAATACATTGAGAAGCTCCCCAAACTTGGAATGTGTTCCCTGTATAACACACAGCCAAGTCAAGAAGCTTTAACTTGCTCAAGGTGTTTCAGGACGACTTCTGACAGCTAGATTGACTCACCATTCAGTTATGCTGCTTTAGAGGTGATCTCCGGGAATCCAGGCGTCAACATGTAAGAAGTGAGCAAAGTGGCTGGGCACTGAGGGATGCAAGTATGGACAGACCC